CAACTGCAGGTTTTAGAACCATTTTAGATTGTGTTTATTATTTAAAAAAAATAATTTTGTGTGTATCTAGCGTATGTGAAAGATGCCAGATTGAGCGCCCTGGAGGCTGAAGTCCTCTATTTATCCACAGAACAGGTATGGCATGGGCAGTGGCAGTACAAGCTTCCCCATCAATGTGCCTCAACCCTGACCTGGAGGAACCACCTCTAGAGGTGAGAGGGTAGTTCAGTCTCCAGAATCCTTCAGTCCTTGGCTTTTGTGCTGAGATTGACAAACATAGTGCCGACTGTGGAGGTGGCTCTTGTCATGTGGACATCTGTCTACTGCAAACCAAAGCAAGACCACCAAACTCACTTCAAAGAGGGCATCACTGGCCAACAGTTGGTAATTCCCGTTTGGCCTGGATTAGTCTGACTGCAAATATGTAGTCTGGTAGCAGCCCTCCCCCTTTATTTTTCTCTTCCTCTAATGTATCTGGAAAAGGCCAATGCCGATGGAGTACAGATCAATAGATACACCAGTAGCAGAGACTAGCATTGCTTATCCCACACTAATTATGAAGCAGTTCATACAGTCTGAGAGTGCATCTGTATTACCATTCCTTTATTGCCCACAGTTAAATTATAAATGAGGAACTGAAGAGATACCGCTACCATTTTAGGCCTCTGAATTTAGTTTTGCCAGATGTATTTTCTGAGGGGGGGAGGGGGGGCGGGGTTTGGTGTTGCCTAGATACTTAGACAGATTCTGAGGAAAAGAATCCAAATCTGAGACTTTTGTAGTCCTGGGTTACGAAATAATACTAGCATTATGTGTATGTGTGTGCATGCAAATTTCAGTGCCTGATACATAGAGTAGAGCCATCTCTGAAACGCAGTTCACTGATGCTACCAATATGAGCAGGCAGTCTCACAATAACATAATGGTAGCTCCTCAAGAGCAGGTCCAGACCCTCAGAGTAGCAGGGGTTTAAGACATTGGGAATCTGGGGGGGTAGTTTTGCTCGGCACTTCTATTCTGAATTATTTGCAGCCAGTCATATCAGTCTTTAATTTTAGACAGCCACCTAGCACACTGTGGGCAGTATGTAAGGCAATAACAACAAAAATTAATACAGCTTTATATTCGTGGGGAAGAAGAATAGTCTGGGACTAGACCGCAACTTGATAGATCTAGATTCAGGTTTAAACTTTGTCACAGATTTTGGCATCAGGAAGGTCATTTTACCTAAATTCCCCATTTGTGAAAAGGGAGATTATAATTAGGGCTGTGCAAAGCTTTGGTCCCTGATTCGATTTGGCGGAGATTCGGCCTGATTTGATGGCTGAATCTCCGAATCCAAATTGATTCAGAAAGGTTCAGTGATTCGGACATAGAGATAGCTTTAAGTGTTTTTTCTACATACCTTAAGGTACCAGCGCGGCTCGTGAACACTGCAGTGCTGAGGCAGATGGATCATTCCACAGGAGCGCGGGGGGCTCCCTAGCACGCTCGGCAGCAGACCTGGAAGTGGACCAGAAGCATTTCTGGGGCCCCCCCCGCACCTCCCCAGCTCAGCGACTGGTGCCTCCTGTGTCTGGGGGGGCATGAGGGGTCCCCCCGTGGCCGATCGGGGGTAAGGGGGGTGGGGCCTGCACACTCAGTGGCAGACCTGGAAGTGGACTGGAAGTACTTTCAGTCCACTTATGGGTTCACTGCCGAGCACGTGGGGGACCCCCTGTGTTCCTGTGGGACACTCCATCTGCCCCAGCACAGCAGCGTTAATGAGCTGCGCTGGTACCTAGAGATATGTAGAAAAAATATTTAAAGCTGTGTCTATGGCCAAATTGCTGATTCTCTGAATCAGCACTGAATCTTCAGATTTGGATTCAGCAAAATCGAATCGGGGACAGTGATCTGAATCAACAAATCTAATCACTGTCCCCGATTCGGGCCAAGTCCGAATTGAATACAGCCCATTTTGCACACCCCTAATTATAATTCTTCCTTTTCCCCACCCTTTGTCTGTTCAGGCTGTAAGCTATTTGGGTCAAGGACTCTTGTTGTGGGTCCATAAGGTGCCTTTCTCAATGGGGCTGTTGTCTCTCTTGGGGTTTTCTAGGGGCTAATTTAATATCAATAGCCCACCAAAATAGAAAATAAAAATGCTCTAATTTTAGAAACAAAACTGGAATTGTGAGGAAATGCCACAAATATTCCAGAGAGCAATTGAGCACTAGGGAGCACAAGTGCAAACATCTGTTTGAGTCATTCCTAAATGCAGCAATGTTTTTTTTTTTCTTTTTTGCAGGTGGATAATATAGTAGCTGCAGAATATGAATTGGAGTATTTGCTTCTGGAAGGACACTGTTATGATATCACTACTGGACAGCCACCTCGAGGACTCCAGTTCACGTTGGGAACTTCAACCAAACCTGTTGTTGTTGATACAATTGTCATGGCCAACTTAGTACGTGTCCTTTTTTCATACAGACAACAAATGGTTATGTTTCTCCAGGATCTCCCTTCTGTCCCTTGATATAGATCCAGTTAGCACAGTTACTTGTTAGCCCCAAGACACCAAGATATCTCTCTTAGTTTGTTAATAATAGATGTGAATGTTGCTTACATCCCAGGGACTTTGATGGTTTGGTTCTAGGTAGGGGAGAATGCCTGGAGTCTGACACTGGCTGGATTTGTTGGAGGTACCTTATTCCTAACCATGTGAATGGAGAAGCCTTGTTTGTAGATAGGGTTGGCTGTGGTCATTAGTAAGATGCACTCAGTCCCTCCACATCCCAAATTATCCAGAAGACTCTTGGAAGTAGGGCAGCAGCTTAAGAGCATCATTGTAAGCAAAGTGGGTTTTTTGGAAAGTCAGTCAGTTGCCCAGTTTGTGTAGACTGGATCCCTCTCCATTCCAACATCAGCATAAATCCATGTAATCCTGTTTACCGTTTGAGTTTCTCCCTAGTGCGTCTTCTTCATTACAACTTGTTCAGAGTGCTTACTGTTTGCTTCCTGGTGTTGCTGTTTTTATATTGGCTATTTGTGGAGTATGAGTTGATGTGAAATTGATTTTGTTGATTTGACACTTTTTAAATATTTTGCCCTGCATGTAGTTAAAAGAACAACTTGAACCTTCTGCTGAGAAGTATTGGTGCCACCCATAACACTCATGGTTAACAAACCTCCATGACTTTGCAAAAGTAGATTCATAGGCTCTCTCTGGATGCTTGTTTGCTTAGTACGCACTGTACAGCCAGCATTTTTAAATACTGATTTTAAAAACAAATTCCATTCGATTTTTTGTGTGTGTGTGCGTGTTGCCCTTTCTATGGAAGAGCCTCTTCAGCATTCTAGTTGGGTATTCTTTCTGGTCTAGTATCTCCTCTAATCCAAATACTATGAACAACACCTTTTTCTTTTTCGGACAACTCCTACTTTCTTCACTATCAGTTGTCCATAATTTTGTTCTTAGCTTAGTACTGAGTTTTGTGCCCATGAGATTGGGGTGTACTTAATGGCTACAACTTTTTTAATTAACTTATTTGAGCACAAACACGTGCGTATGCATTTTTTGGTACACACTCTCAACCCTTGTACTTTAATAGATGCTAGTAATTTTTTAACAGTTGAACACACACACATTCAGTTGTGCAAAAACTAGAATGTTTCTGAAGTTGTGAATAAGTGTGCTCCAAAAATACAGAAGCCTGTGTTTATAGGTGTGTGTATGTATGTATATATATGTATGTATGTATGTGTGTGTGTACTATATATTTTTTTAAAGTTGTACCTGGTAGATATGTTACACCAGGGGTAGGCAACCCCTGGTATGCATGCCACAGCATAGCATGCAAAGGCATTTTGCTTGGCACTTGAGCCTTGGGACGGGGGCCAGGGCTGCACTGCCACAACAAGGATCAGGCCCCTCATAGCTCCCCCACTATCCACCCCTAGCACACCAACAGCTTGCAAGTCAAGATTGTGGGTGTTTTTGGCACTCTGCCCAAAAACATTGCCAACTGGTGTGTTACACCATTTATAGGATATTAATTCTTCTTGCTTTCCCTGTAAGTCTGTTCCAGTGCTCATTTGTTGGCGATTTGCTCAGCATAGCAATGACATCAAAATAAAAAATTGTGACCATTGTGATATTTAGCAGGTAGTGGTTTGAAACCATTTATCCAGTGGAGGTAAGCCCCCAAGTTAGACATTCTGGTTACTTTTGCAGAAACGCAGGCTAGAAGCCTGCTTTTGGATTCTGTCCGCAAAATGTCTAATTGAGAAGTTTTATTAATTTAAGAAATTCTCCCAGACCCATTGATATTGTTTGTTTTTAAATAAGAAATTCCATCAGCAGTTCTTCCTGTTCTCATCTGGGCTTTGAAGGTTAAAGATGTTTTAACCAGCTGACTTATGAGCAACTGTAATTGAATCTAATATGAGTGACAATACAGAAGAATGATTAAGTTAGAGTGAGCTAGGAAGCAGCAGCAAAACAAAGTGTTCACTGAAGTTTTACTTTCCTTTCACAGGGTTACTTTCAGCTCAAAGCCAATCCTGGGGCCTGGGTCCTGAAGCTCAGGAAAGGGAGGTCTGAGGACATCTATAGAATTTATAGGTGAGGCAATATGACAGCTACTTTTTGTTTTTGTGTTTTCTTATGAACTTTTTGAAGTGAACAAACAAAATAGACAGTTAATAGTCCTTTACCAAGTAGTAGCTAATTACATGCTTCATTAACACATTATTCATTCTCTGAGAAGAAATCTAATACATTCCATTATGTGATCTTCTACATGTACATGTTTGATAGATTATATTCCATTTTTGAAGACTTGTTTCCTGGTATTTGAGGTTTCTGTAGGTTGTAGAGTATGTGAAAAAGAAGCACAAAATAAAATGTCACTTGTGCTTTCATTGCACAGCTAAGTGTCTTGTTTTTATTTTCAGCCATGATGGTACGGATTCTCCACCTGATGCTAACGAAGTAATTGTTGTTCTCAACAACTTCAAGAGCAAAATTATTAAAGTGAAGGTAAGTGTGAAAACAACAGTACAGGAGCTTCTCACATGGCAGGACAATTTAAGGCATTTGGGCATCAACAGCGTGAACAAAAGGTTATTTTAGGACTGATCATTCCTTCTATACCTCTGTGTTAGCATCACCATGCACAAAATAGAGCAGAAAGATCAGAAAATCACTGATGCAATTCTGGATGGCACTGTTCTGTCACTAAGCAGTTTGTGATAGTAGTGTACTTGGGCCTTACAGGACCCAATCCAAAGCCCACAGATTCCTATCAATTTCAGTGCTTTTTATCAGTCACCTTGACAATTTATAAATATTACCCTTATTTCACACACTGGAAAACAGGAAGAGAGGGTTGAAGTGATTTGTTTTATTTGTAGGGCAGGCCAGTGACAGTGTAGTCTAAAACCCAGTTCACCTGGATTTTATCCTTGTCCCATAGCCTGTCTGTTGTATCACATGACCTGTTCTGGTATATGTACAAGTATTAACCTCCTTTGTAGGAGACACTGATGCGGTCCCTTAGGCTGTGCACTGTAATAAATGGTTTAATGATTTGTAAAACAGTTTTGTGTTGTTTTTTAAAGGAAGAAAAATCAAGTGAGTTTTAAAATTAGAAAGAGAAGGATGGACATGAATGCCATTTATAAGAGTATTTTTAGCAACATAAGCATGAAGTGTAAAACCCAACTATCTGAGGCTTTCAGAATATTAGAGTAGCACTTTAACTTTAGGCATTTTCATTATGCCTCCAGTGACTGTATATGCAGAATAGGGGATTTGACTTGCAGCTGCAGTAATTTGTATGCAGATTAGAAACACAATTTTGCTCACATTTTATAAGCATGATTGAATGTGCAAAATCTTAAAAAAATCAGTATCTTTAATATAGTTCTCCTCCATGGACCTAATAATAATTAACAAACACATATGCAAGTTCTGTACATTGGGTAGCATGCATATTATTATACACATATTCTTATCGGTCTGCTCTCAGTAATGTAATATAATCACTGGTAAGAAAGAAAGACCTTCACATAATACTTGATGGCCTCTCACTCTTTACAGCCAGATAGCAGATGACAGGGTAGCTACAAACGAACTGAATTCATTGGTTGTGGTGGTTGTCACGCATCCTGTCCTGTCCTGTCTTCCTCCTTGGCCTTGTTTTGCATTCCAGGAATTCCAAAATTTCCCACTGATTGGCACCTGTTTTCGGATGTGGTCCATTTTGCTCTGTTCTTCTTGCTTAATGTTTTCCCTAGTTTCCTTGTTGAAGATGGAACTAGTTTTGACATTATTTTGAAATGTTAGTTGCACTTTTACTTTTGAAAACTATTTCAGTATGGCTTCTCTTGTGTGTGCGCATAAATGGACATTTATTCAAATTGATATGTGGAAACTGTATTGTCGTGCCTGTATAAGCACCTTACAGTTGTTTCCCAAGTATTACTACATTGTCTAAAACAGCATTTTATGTTTCAGGTTCAGAAAAAACTAGACATGATGAATGAAGATTTACTAAGTGATGGAACCAGCGAGAATGAGTCTGGATTTTGGGAATCTCTTAAATGGTAAAACAAGTTTGCCATTCAGTCCTATCTTGCAGGTCTTAAAAAAACTAAGAAGACCATCTAAAACTAGAAGATGGTCCAACGGTTTAATAGTGAAGCTAAAGCAGTAATACTCTGTAGCCATCCTGTTATAAATGTGCTAGGTATGAATGTTTCTTTAAAACTAGTCAGTAATTCCTTGGAATACACTTCTTCCCCACATGGAACTAAAGGGCCATCTTCGTGCAACTGTATTCTCTTCTTCTTTATGCCAGTCTTGGAGCTCTGATTGTTGCACATCTTAAGGGTTAGTCTTGTTTGACTGAAGATGACTTGAACAGGACTACTCTCAAATCAGGGACTGGGGGAGGGAGGGTGATACCAAACACTTCTCCCCTCCCAGGTTTTCTGCATATTGTGCCTCAGTTGCTACCAGACTAGAGAGTGAGAGATTTGGTTCAGAAACAGTTTTCCTATACCACTTTGTAGATCTGCCTCAGTATTCTACTAATTGGGTTTTTATTTTTTCCTGATTTTTAGGGGATTCACAGGTGGGCAAAAGAATGAAGATGTGAGACAGGAGAAAGATGATGTGATTAATATATTTTCTGTGGCTTCAGGACACCTGTATGAAAGATTCCTCCGGTTAGTCTAGAACATGTAGTCTCTTAAATGTACTGTTATATACTGGGAAAAAAAATAGTTGGGACATCTGGGACTCCAGCAAATTTCCTTTTTTGTAGCCTTACATGATTAGTTTTATGCAGAGTAGTTGAGAATACTGGCTTGTTCCACTCAGTACAGGTTCCTTACTAATTAATAAGGATGGTAGTAAGGAAAGTAAAAACCAATAATAAAACCCCCATTACAGTTTTCATTTGCTTTGAGTGAATATACTGTGCATTTTTTTGTTCATCCAGCTTAAAATAATGAGTTAAGACAAGTGTTGTTTAATAGATGTTAATAGGATATGATTGTCATTATCTTAGGATTCTTATTGCTTCAAAACAATTATGTAGGCTTCGCACAAAGCTACAAGGTTGATTTTTTTCAAAGCAAGAGATTCAGTCTGTAGTTTTTTTATTTGTGCCATTGATTGCTCTTAATAGCTGATGCAGGTATAGGCCTATTTTTCATAGATAGTATTGCTTTTAATCACTACCCACTTCTTGTTTGTTGAGATACAGTCCAGTTTGTATATTCATACACATTCTTTCTTTGGTTAAAGTATATTTTTTTAAAATGTACTTTTTCAGTGTATTAAAAATCAGCATAAAGCTTTATGTTTTCTTTTAGGTGCATAAAGATGAGTAATTTGGTATAATATATATTATGCATTTGGCATAATAATGTTAGACAATAGTAATTTGTATCTAGCCATTATGCTGCCATAACAAGCTTTCTGCATAGGCTTTTGTTGGCTTTAATACTGTTCTAATGCTAATACTGATCTTGTATTAATATACAGTGATTGCTAAGTACTGACGCTTTTTCTTTTCTTTGGCAGCATAATGATGTTATCCGTCTTGAAACATACTAAGACTCCAGTAAAATTCTGGTTCTTGAAGAACTACTTGTCACCTACATTCAAGGTTTGTTACTAAATACAAACTTCACAAAGTTTACCAAGGACACAAGGCAAAGCAAACAGTTTTTAAGAGTTACTTGTTTATTGTCTTTCTGCTTCATTTTGCTGAGTAGCTTTTCTTTGGGCAGTTAGATGAATTCCATATTTTGCAAATATGTGTATCGTAACCTCTTGATAAACCTCCCTTTTGACAAAGCATCAAGAGTCATTAGTCTTATTCTTCTGATCATAAAGTTTTTGTAAGCGAAGGTTTATTTGACAATGGATTCATATTCATAGCTAGTATTTCAGGGGATAGTGCAGAGCTGGAATAATAAAATAATGGAACTAGTGGCATTTATGTGAAGATAGCAAGTGTTGCGCTCCTTTTTCTGTGACATGCACTGCTGAAGTTCATGAACAATATAGCTATTATACAGAATATTTTTTAAGCTTGTCTGAAGTTGTAGTTGGTAACATGTGAAAGGGAATAAAGAAAGGCTGGCATAAAAAAGCTAGAGAAAGGCAATGCCAATGGTAAAAAGTACAGGAGTTCCATATGAGGACCCCTTAAGATAGTAAGGTTGCTATATTTTAGAAATGAGAATAATCAGCTTTTAGAGAGAACAATAATGTAATTGAATCCATATGATACAAATGGTGCAGAGGAGGTCAATTTGCCATGTAGATCTATCAATACAAGAAAAAGGGGCATTCAACAAAATCAAAAGGCAGCAAATTCATTAATTGAAAATTAACTGAAATGGATATTATTTTACACAATATGTAGCTAATGCATGATAGCAGGATCTGAGTAGAGGCAAAGATTTTTTAGCAAGAAACAAAAAGTATCATACATTTATTTTTATGTGTAAGGTAGTATAAATGTGTGTGAAATATCATCAACTTCCATGCTTTATAACATTGTAGGAAAATAGGTATGGAAGAAACTACATGAGGTCATGTAGTCCAGCCCCCAGCTCAAGGCAGGAACATCCCAGCCAAGTTTCTGTCTAACCTGCTCTTGAGATTCCAGGTGTGGAGAGTTCACAGCTTCTCTGGGTATCCTGTTCCAGTGCTTGACAAGCCTCACATTCAGAAAGTTCTTCCTAATCTCTATCTAAATTTCCTCTGCTGCATTTTGAGGCTATCACTCTTAGTCCTTGTCTCATACAGCCACAGAGAAAAAGCTGTCTTCATCACCTTCCTTTCAGCTATTTGAAGACTGCTGTCAAATCCCCCTTGAGTCTTCTCCAGGTTAAATAACCCCAGTTCTTTCAGCATTTCTTCATAAAGTATGCTTACAAGGCCTCTTAAGTATTTTTGTTATGTTCCACTGGACTCTTTCCAATCCATCCACATCTTTCTTGAAGTGTGGGGCCCCAAAAACTGGACACAGTATTCAAAGTGAGGCCTTATCAATGCTGAATAGAGCAGAAGAATCACTTCCATTGATTTATAAGAGATGCTTCTGTTAATACAAACCAGCAGATAAAAGTGCCAAAAAACCCCACTGAAGCGCCTGATCTATACAGATGCTGTAGAGCCGGGTCAAACTAACATACTGCTGCTTCCGGGAAAGCACGGGTTGCTTTCTTTTTTAACATCTGTAAGCAGCCTAAGTTTCTGGTGTTAGGAAGAAACATTTGCCATAGGCATGTCAATGCATACAAGTTTATTAGGCTGTTTAACCCTTTTGTCTGATTTTTGCTGGTAGTAGCTATGGTTAGAATCAGAGATCTAATCTGAGTTTGATGATCCTCATCCTTAATGAAAATATCCTATACTAATACAAAGTAAGATTCATTTTAGCGGTATATTGTTATTCTGTAATCTTATTTGAGTAAGAGGAAGAATGTAGCTGTGATGCCGCATAAGCTAATTAGAAAACAGGGTCACATTGTGTTCCCTCTTTAAGGGGAAGTAATGTACGGTTACCTCAGGCTAGCAACAAGTTACTTCTCCATCAGCTCAGGTTCAGTGCCATGGGGTGTGCGAAGTGGGCAGTATTCGATTCGGATTCAGCCCAATTTGGGGGACAGCGATTCGATGCGCTGATTTGGATCACTGTCCCGATTCGATTCGGCTGAATCTGAAGATTCAATTCTGATTCAGAGAATCACCGATTCGGTCGTAGACACAGCTTTATATGTTTTTTCTATGCACCTTGAGATACCAGGTGCGGCTCATGAATGGTGAGGTGGTGGGGTGGATGGAGTGTCGCACAGGAGTGCAGGGGGGGCTCTCCCACATGCTTGGCAGCGGACCCAGAAGAGGACCGGAAATACTTCCAGTCCACTTCTGGGTCCACCGCTGAGCGCATGGGGGACCCACGCCCCCTTGGCTCAGCGATCGGCTGTGGGAGGGACCCCAGGTGCCACCCCAGACCCAGGAGCGGGGTGGCAAGCTGGGGGGGAGTCCCCCCACGTGCTCCACGGCAGACCTGGAAGTGGACCAGAAGTACTTTTGGTCCAGTACCAGGCAGCAGCTCCCCTCCCCCCCGTGTTCCCGTGGGACGCTCCATCTGCCCCAGCATCTCAGCATTCACGAGCCGCACCTGGTATCTTGAGGTATGTAGAAAAAACATATAAATCTGTGTCTATGGCCGAATTGTCGAATCTCTCTGAATCAAACTGGAGGCTTCTGATTCATTTTGCGGAGATTAATGGGTCTCCTGATTCAGTTCAGATTAAGAGATTCAGCTGCCAAATTGGGCTGAATCTCCTCCAAATCGCATCAGTGACTGAAGCTTTGCACTGCCCTACCATGCATGTGATGGACAAGTAATCTTGTTCTAGGCAGCAACGTTTTTGTGGAATTAAGATTACTTTTAATGTCACTAAGATGTCTTGTTACTCTTTCCTTTCAAATAAGGGTGCTAGTGTCACACCTTGGGCACACTACTATACCAGAGTCAGTGGGCCCTGTCTTTTATTAGAGGTCTTTAGTAACAAGATAAACATGACTTGCTTCCATTGCGTAGGTTTTTTAAAACAAGGCAGCCCCTGGAGTACTTTATTGCAATTTGCAGAAGATTTATAGAGGGAGTAAAACAATTCAGGTTATCAAGTCCCAGCTTTGTGGTTCAGGATTGTTCTCTTAGGTATACTTACTAGTATTTTTTCTAGCTGGTTTAAAGGTCTCAATTGTTAAGTCTTCTGTCAGTTCACTTGAGGACACTGTTACAGCCAAATGTAGATTACTGTTGGGAATTTTTTCTGACTTCTCTTGTCTTTTTCTCTTGCATAGTTTTATTCTGATGTTCCCCGTTATACCTTCTCTGTACAGTCTGAAATAATGCCTTTTCCATCTGTAATTACACATCTTTAACTCAAGTGGTCTGTGTTTGTAAATCAGTCTCTTCAACATTAGATTTATTATAAAATAGATCATTGCTAAACTTTTGAGATGAAGCTAAACCAAGATGTTTAGATGACTTAAAAGTACAGTTTGACAGTTCCATGTATGATCTGTGATGGCCACAAATTGAGATTACATTTTGCAGCCAGTATGAGGTAGTGGTAGAATCATATAACATAAAAACCAATATTACAAATAAAAGAATAATTGGTAATTTGTGTTTTACACAGTTCTGAAGTCTCTTGAATATTTCCTTTTGTCCAAGTTTTTTTGTTACTTCCATGTTGTTTTGCTGTAGTTAAAACCAGAAATGCAGTAAAGACATATAATTTCCCCCCCCGCAGGAGTTCATCCCATACATGGCAGAGAACTACAGTTTCCAGTATGAACTTGTCCAGTATAAATGGCCACGATGGCTTCATCAGCAAACAGAGAAGCAGCGCATTATCTGGGGCTATAAGATCCTTTTTCTGGATGTCCTGTTCCCACTGGCTGTAGATAAATTTTTGTTTGTGGATGCAGATCAGGTAAGCTGTCAAAAAGCTAAGCAGCACTGGCAGGAATTACCAGGTCAGTTTAAGTACAGGCAGTCCTCGACTTACAACGCTTATAAATTGACACCCTGTTTCAACTTTATGACATCAGTTTTGACTTTACAATGCTTGATTCGATGCGACGCCACGCCAGCGAACAAGTTCGCTGCATTGCTCATCTCCCTGGAGAACATCTGTCCAAACTTGCTTGGACACTTTCTTTAAGAAAGCAGACAAGACTCCAGAAAAACCTGCAGTCAAGACTCCTGAGAAGACTCCAGCCACAAACCCTTCAAAAAGTCCAGCCAAGAGCCTTTCAAGCAAAGTCAAAGAAGTCCTTCCAAATCAATATGCTTGCTATTTAGAATATAAGTACATTGATGTGACTATATTACACATCTATAATTGATCGAGTACAAAATTCTGGGGTATTTTTGGTGAAAATAGGGTATTGGGCCTTGGTTCAGGAACCAATCCCCCATTTCTAACATTGTTTCTTATGAGAAAATTGGTTCCGAGTTACAATGTTTCGACTTAAGACCCGGTTTTCAGGAACCAATTGTGTCGTAAGTCTGAGAACTGCCTGTACAATAAATGGCTTTCTTATGTGTAATTATATGAAAATTGCAGAGCCCTTCACCTGAAATCTGGGAAAGGCCAAGATTAAGGTTCTGTACTATACTACAGTGGGCACTGCATATTTTACACTATCTGCAGTGACCTTACTGCATGGGCTCCCTGGGGGCTTTCCCTGGTGCCTTGTTTGCTGCCCTCTTGCCCCCACTGAGCAAGATGCTGCACCTCCTGTGGTAAAAATTCGGGGTGGGGAGGTGGGGGAGCCATTCCACTCAACCCCTCCCCCTCTATACACTACTGAGCTGCCTGGCTTCTGTGGCTCCTGGGCTGCGCCTGCCATGGCAAAGACTCCCAAGTGGGTGGAGGGGGAGCATTGCAGTGCCTCTGCTGCAGCTGGTGTGCAATGAGCTACACCCATTCTTGAGTATTACCCCAGATCCATTTCCAGTTTTGCTGCCCTTACTGGCTGTTTTACTGCTCTGTATCCACTGCCTAAGCGGCACGGTGTCAGAGTGGGTATGGTGGCTTGCTTTGGATCTACGGGTTTGAGCTTTGTTCTGGACCTAATGAAAGCTACTCCCTGTTGATGTATCTGTAGATGCTACTTGGTGATTCAGACTGGGGAGATGGTGATGGTGGATGTAATGCTAGTCACATCACTCCCTTGAGTGCTGCCAGCTATAGAAACTGGCATGCCTTAACTGCACTAGCCTGAGGGACCACTTAGGGTTGGGTGTAGTATTGACCTTTTTTATATTTACTAGATTAGTGGTCAGCAACTTTTTCAGGCTGTGGGCTGGAATGACTGAACAGCTCAGGTCAAAGATGCGCAGGTGCTAGGACCTACCTATTACCATTGCATTTCCCCCTACCCTGTGTGAGAAGCCCCTGCTAGTGCTGCTTCTCCCTGCTATGGCACAAGAGAAGCCCCATGTCCGTGGGTGGATCCAATAGCTCTGCAGGCCGTAGGTTGCTGACTCCTGCACTAGAAGATTCAGTCTTTTCTTTTCAGTGTAGTTTGTTTCCTCCAAAGTTTGCTGATACATATGATTGTTATTGCCATAGCCCTATTGTCCGGACACTGTACCAGTGCAACAGAGATGGTCCTTATCCCTAAACAGCTTCCTATTTAAGTATAAGAGGCAACAGATGGAGATAAGAGATGAATATAGCACAGTATAACTATGAAGATGATTTTCCACTGCTTGATAAGCAACGGTTACAGCTCTCCAGCTGCCTAACAAGCTTCTGTTAAGTTATTTGTGGGCAAGATTCTACTTTACTAGCTCCAGTCCAAAAGAGTGTATTTTTGACACTGTGTTATCTGAAGAATCACTATAACATATTATTCTAATTTTCCTGGGGCAGGGACTTTATTTTACCACATCACTATAATTGTAAATGACCTTTGTCTAACTGAACTTTGGTTGTGACCTGGACCTTCACAGTAACCATTGAACAAAACTAACCTGTACACCAGGTCTCCAGAATGTGCCTGTGTACATATTAAGCAGAAATAACTTTTCTTCAGATTGTGCGCACAGACCTCAAAGAGTTAAGAGATTTCAATTTGGATGGAGCACCTTATGGATATACTCCCTTCTGTGACAGCCGTAAAGAGATGGATGGCTACAGGTTCTGGAAGTCAGGATACTGGGCAAGTCACTTGGCTGGAAGAAAATACCACATCAGGTACTGAAGAATTCAGTTTTACCAGATAAATTGAAGGGGTTGTCACAAAAACACCACCAAGAAACAAAACCACATGCTTTGCTAACAGTCCTGCAGATTATAATTTCATGTTTCCCATAAATGGTTGAAGTTCATGTATGTACACTTAGTGAGATTGGTATCTGCTTTGTGTTTGCATAACAGGGTTTGCTCACAGTCCTCATCTTTCCCAGGTTCTATCAGCTTACCCTCGGAAAGTCAGAGGGTGCCTGCTTGACAAGTGACATTAGGGGTTGTTTTACATGCTGTGGCTGTCACAGATAAGTAGTTATTAGCTACCAGAAATCTCATCAGAAGATGTATGGGTTAGTTTTTTAAAGAAATGGAAGAAGTGTTACACAGTAGCGTTACAAGACTGTTTGTTAGAGAATCTTTGGATTTATACACTGTGACCTAATTTTTCTATAAGGTCCAACTTAGACTACAGTAAATGTGGATTTTGTACATCAGTACATCAGAGTGGCTTCAAGTGATTAATGGCTATATTGTTTGTGTTCAGTGCACTCTATGTTGTGGATCTGAAGAAGTTCAGGAAGATTGCTGCTGGAGACCGGCTTAGAGGACAGTATCAAGGTCTTAGTCAGGATCCTAACAGCCTTTCCAACCTTGATCAGGTATGTGTGTTGTTTTTCAGTCACTGCAGATGAACAGCTTTCAGATATAGCGGATCCTTCTTATACCTGATGCCTGTTCAGGTTGTATGTCATGGATGTGTCCTTTCTCCTGGCTAAAAATCAGATTAAGATTTAATCTACTTCTTTAATCAAAATTGAAATCCCCCTTCCTCACCCCCCTTTAATTTCTTCCCTGCTTAACATGGTTGGGACACACAGTTCTGAAACAATGTTGTCCTGATGCCTTGTCTGTCCCATTGCCATGCCTCTAATTGGATTTATAGGGCAGAGTGACACCTTTCAGTGGCAGTGAGCATTACCATTAGGCTGCAGTATGCAATACACATAAGATTTTGAACAATCACAGAATTCCTTTCATTCTAAATGTTAAAATTATTAACATTCTGACCTTTTTGGAGACTTCTACCAAGGCTCAAGGGGAATTTAGCTGCCTTTAAGGTGGCATTATGTATAAGCCACATGTGAATTGTTTACATTGCAGTTACACTGCAGACAATCCATGGTGTGAGCAAGTTCAGTATTCTAGTTTTCCTACTTATGCCCTCCATTTAACACACAAAATCCCCACCCAACATGGGGGCAGCAGTAATTCAAGCTGCTGCCTGTTGCCTTGCAGAAGCTTCCTTACTGCAAGTTTCCTCTCTAGGCATAGAGGATTAATTTGCTTACACAGTCACTCCTTGACCTTCCAATCAGATCAGCAAAAAGGTGCTAAGTGTTGTGGTGTTTTCTTTGAAATGGACAACTTTCACTTGAGAAGCATCCTCCAACTACTTTGTTTTTCTTAAATACATCATAAGACAATGAATGGCTTTTAGATCCATTTGGTGACTTGCAAACATTGACTAGATTGGAGTCAGGATTGTGGAGATAGAAACCTTAGTAACTCGTTACCAGTGTCTTGAGGTGTCTAGTCTACTGTGAGTATACGTAAAAATTATTTTGGTCTAATGAGAAATGCACTTGTCTCTATGTATATGCCATGTCCTAATTAAGTTAGTGGAAAATTTATACAGTATTGAAATAATGTTGTTCATAGGTTAATTAGTTGGACTGTTAGCTAAAATACCTCTGCTATCATACTACCATATGATTATCAGTCTGTCCTCTAAACCAATATACAAGTACCAAGAGGGAACCTTTTGTTAAGATCTCTTAAGAACATAACCATTCAAGCTAATCTGGTGCTATAAAGGTCTTGATAGCTGGAATCACACTGTTGCTATATCAAATGGAATTAAATCTAAATATCCTGACTCGATAAATTAACTGAAAGTTGATTCGAAATTGGTTTTAATTATTTAGAAATGTAGCTCTCTGGGATTTTGGCTTTCTCTAAGAGAATCAAATTTTTACAGATTTTTGTTTGAGGATTAATTCCAAATCTGCCTTTCCTTCATGTTAAACCAGGGGTGGGCCCTGGAGGGCTGGTTCATGAATTTTAGTGAGCCCCGTCCCTTGACAGATGCCCTGCCCCCTGGTCACCATATTGGCACCAGAAGTCCTACCCCTAGCCCCTGACCTTTGCCACCGGAAGTCCTTCCCCTTGCCTGCTGGAAGTACTCTTTGGGGGAAGGGGGGGGGGGCTGTTATCTTGGAACAGAAAACAAACTAAATCATACACTAAAAGTCAAACGCCTACTATAACTTTTAATTTTATATCTTTTAATTTTATTACAACAAATATTTTTGTCATGATTTATGTTTGCAGAGTGTATATAGAGGTCATTGCGTAATAACTAAAAAATAAAGTCTTAGTCTTGTATATTGTGTGTGGGGAAGTATGGGGAGTCCCACAAGCTGCACATGGTGGCAGGAAGCGGGGAAGGCAGCCAGCTCCATCATGCAGGGCTTCTTCCAGTGATGCACAAGTGCTAGGAGCTGCGTGTATGCCTCAGGGAGCCCTGCATAATAGAGGTGGGCCAGCCTCGCTGCACTTCTCGCTCCCATATGCATCTCTGGCCAGAGCCATGCACTGCTGGGTGGCAGCACCTGTACAGGCCACGAGGGCCCACTGCCTGCTGGTGCTGCTGCCACTGGTGGCAGGGGCTGTGCGCCATGGTGATGAATGTGTGCGTGTGTGTGTGTGGGGAGGGTCCTCACAATGCCACCCTCTCTCACACCCACACCTTGCCCACCCAAGCTCCATGTTCCTGCCACCCCCAGGGCGTGGGCTCTGCACTCCTGCAGGTGCCAGCCTCACATTTCCCACCCCACTGCAGCTTCCTTTCCCGCATCTGCCCCGCCACTTCCCTACCTGCTGCCCGGAGTGAGCGCTGTAGCACGGAGACAAGAAGGAGCCGCTGGATGTGGGGGAAGCCAAGCAGGGCCCCCAGCAGCTGCAGCAGTGGCAGCAATGACCCTGCCCAGAAGCTGGGCTGGATCCTCCCACCCACCAAGATGGGAGTGAGATGCATGGGCTGGAAGGGATACAATTAACTGGTGGGTGCCCGCAGGCTGAAGTAAATTGCCCGCAAGCCATATTGTGCCCGCCCCTGTGTTAGATGCACCCTGATTTTGTTCTTTCTGTAAATTTTGCTGTACAGGTTACATGACTTATCAATAGTGTAGTTTTAAGAATTTTAGATAATTGATTTTTCCCTATCACTAGTACATCTTTATTTCAAACAGGATTTGCCCAACAACATGATCCATCAAGTGCCAATTAAATCACTCCCACAAGAGTGGCTTTGGTGTGAAACATGGTGTGATGATGCTTCAAAAAAGAGAGCAAAAACAATTGATCTGGTAAGGCCACTGTGACACTTGTTCAATATGTTAACATTTTATGGTAAAACTGAGATGCTGGCACTTCCTTATTTCAGTAGAGGGGTGAGGCCCTCAGGTACGAGGGTGAATCAAGTCTCTTGGAAGATTGGTCTCCAACCCATGGTCCCTGGGCAACTTGTTACCCGAGACCCTCTGACATTGTCTGGGGCTACAGGAAATTTCACATTGCATGGATGTCTGTTTCTTTAGGTTGGCAGGGAGAGTGAAGAAAGGTACTGCCTGCAGGCTAGCAGTGGTTGAGGACCACTGCCTTATACAGGCTGTCAGTCTCCTTACTAAGGAGTAGATTTGTTCCTTACATATCATGCAAGCACTAATCTGTCCTTCCCTCCCTCCTTTATTTTTTTCCAGAGCTATCTAAAGTAGAGTTAGGACAAGTTTGGGAATGGACTTTAAACTGTACTCCTGCTCTGACAACACTTCTCTGAATTAGTCCTTGACAGTGGTAGAGTTCATTTACTGGGAAGCATTCCCCAAATTCAGCATTCTTTTGAAGCCAGGAAATATTTGGGGCTTGAAAACATTTGAACAAAGTGTGTGTGTGGAGATGGGCATTTGCATGCATGTGCATGCATGCATCTGAACAGATCTGTTGCTTTCTGCTTACCCTGTTTTACTTTTGCAGTGTAATAACCCAATGACCAAAGAGCCCAAGCTGCAGGCTGCGATGCGTATCGTCTCAGAGTGGCAGGACTATGATCTAGAAATTAAACAGCTCTACAGTCGTTTCCAGGAAGAGAAAGAAATTGGAACAATTAAAACAACAGGCGAAACAAAACATCAAAGCAAAGAAGGTAGCTTTTATCTTTCTTTATAAAAATGGCTTTTTAAAAGGGAAAAAAGTCATACTACTTTTCTGCCCTCACTGACTACAATTTGTGAATCGTGATATCCTGGGTATTTTCTTCTCAGCTGCTGGTAAAGAGCTCACATTTAACCATTATAACATAAATAAGTAATGAGCAGAAAGTAAAACAAAAAATATGACGGTAGTTGAATTACTTGTTTTTTGTGGGGGTGGTGGAAATCCAGCTGTAGGGAACAGAAGTTTTGGCCTATTTCCTGACATTTTTCTAGGTGCAAATACTTAACAGCATCCAGGCTCAGTAAGGTGACCTACTGCTCTGTGAAGTGAACACAGCATGAATTTTTAAGAAGTTCAGTACTATCCTTCCTGTATGGGAAGTTCTTAACTGAGTGCAGATTATAGTCTCCCTTAATGGATTCTGAATAATACAGGTACAGCTGCACTTGCGATTGAAAACTAAATGGTGGCAATGGCTTAAAGGCTGCGTAGGCAGAGCAAAACCATTTTCAGTAAGGCCTTAATGGTGGGAAGAAATGAAGTACGTTACTTGTGAAGCCCTGCTGAATGATGTTGTGGGGGGGCGTGTGAGATGTATTTTGAATAGTAATAAAACATGACTAACACAGCTAATATTTATAAAATACTAAAAAGACCTGAATCTGAAATACAGGCCTATGAGCAGTTTTCGAAACTTGGGAATCACTGCTCTTAAAATACGTTCACAAGGGCACTGGATATATAAAAAAAACCTTGGCTAGGATTTATTGACACACATTTCACTAGGCTTGGCAAAAGTTCATGTACTGTTAGTTTATAAAGGAATTACTGTGAAAAAGTTTTACTTTTCAAAGTGCAAGTTATGAATTGACAGAACAAGTGCACACCATTTCTAAAAAACTCCAATCAGTCTAATGATTGCCTGTTATGACAACTGGAAATAGGTGACTTTCATTCTTTTTCCCTCCTTTTCTACAGATCCAGCAGCACATGTGGAATTATGATCTATGGGGAAACATGAAGTTAGACTATTTAATAGACAATTTTTATATCAAATGCTAGTTTTTCCAGTATGTCTGCAAAACTGCTGAATAATTGAATGGGATGATGTGTGCATTTTTATCACTTGCTTTTGAGTTGATTTCTGCATATGAAATAGGATCTGGATTATTGGAATTAGTGTTACTGTTTTTGTACCTGTGGGCGAATGAAAGAGCCTGCAGAGGAGTCCAGAATTTCAGTTAACAAAACTCTGAATATCATTGAAAAAGCAGCAGATCTGTTCATCTAGCTGTTGCCATAAACACCACTAGTCGTCATGATTCTATTAACCACAGATATCTTACTCAAGAGCGCATGGAAATTGCATACCCAGGGAACAGCGGCACAGAGAGGAGTCCGTACCTCAAGGAAAGTTTTGAAATGGAGCTTATTTTTTCAGGTTAGGTTTAAGCCTGGAATCATGCCTTGAACTGGTCTTATATTGCACCTGCAGTTTTCAGATTGAATCATCTTGTACAAGGCTCTGCTCAGATTTGATCATTATACCTTTCATTCTGTAACAGAACAGCAGTTTTATTATTTTGATTGAGAACATGGCATCTATTTTCCTTGCTTTTGAATGGTTGGCTTACTGCAAAGCAATGCTAGCCAACCATTTAAATATGTTGTCCCTTCCAAATGTATGTGCTTACAAAGTAAGCAATACATTGGATCTGACTTCTAAAGTGAGATTATTTTTCTAATTTGGCGGCCTCCTCCCCTCAGTTTAATACATGACCCTCTTATTCCCTCCCCAACTTCTACAGTTGAAAAAAATTTGTAAAGTTAGTAGGGCATTGGTACTGGTGCAGTTCATTGATTTATGAATGTTTTTGTTTATGAAAATCTGTGGAAGCTTTTGATCATGTACATTTTGTAACTTTATTTTTCTTCAGACACGTATGTCACATCAATAAAACCTTGGAGTTTGTAGGTGGTACACTTTAGTTCCCCCACTCACCCCATTTCTTTCCTTTGATCTTTTACTAAGAGAGTCTCTTGTAATGCTCTCACAACAGAACATGAGTTGATTCCTCTTGACTGAAATTTTTTTTCCCCTATGGTCCCAATTTATATTGTTTGTGGGAAACTGTAGTTGCTTTTATGTGTCATTTCATTCAAGTGTACAGAACAGAAAACATCTTGCTTCAAGTAGTTGCCTCTTATGAGGATTAGTGACCTTATCATGGATTCTTAAGCTGTCCATTTCTAAAGCCTCTTTCATACATCTACATTTTTAAAACAAGCACTTGAAGTCATTCTGTCACAGGAGCACATTCATAGCTAATTACTGTATCTTTAGTTTTAGTTTCTGTGTGTTTTAGTGCTACAAAATGTATCCTCAAAATCCCTTAAAGTTGTTTCTGGGAACCATGGTGGGATGGGAGCTGGACAGTTTTGCTTGTGGTCAAACAGATTTGTACCTTTATGTCCAGAGCCCTGTGGATATGGGAACCCATTCACTTTGACCAAGATACAGATACATTTTCTTTATATTTTATTTTTCAAATACGGTTACCGCAATTACGTACAAGACAGCAGTTCTTCATTTAGCCGGCCTTCTGTAAGTGTGTGCAGTTACAGTCTTTCTTGTACTTTTTTTCAGTTCCATATAATTTTGGCTAAGACAGTGAGTTTCTGCGGTAGTTGTTTATTAGCTTCCTACATTGCCTTTATAATTCTCCTGAAGCTGTAGATTTGGTGCTTTGACTCACGGTGGAAGTGCAAGAACACTGCCTATGTTGAATTTTGATATTCAATGCTCATATCTCTACTTCAAATTAGAAACTGGTGCAGATAACCCTGACCTTGTATATATTTGTAGAACTACAATAAGCATCTTGTGTAAATAACATGTAATGGGAGGGCAGATTTATTTTTGGAGGGGAAGGGTTAATTTTGCTTCTTTTTTTTAATGTTAAGTTTCTTATTCTTGAGGGCAAAAATCACTTCTGAAGTAAGGCAGAGCAGTGCCAGCCAGCTGAATGGCACAGGGTATGTCTGGCACAGGAGGTGTACTAGCTGGTGCTCCTTATGGCACCTATGAAAAGGTGGCTACATGCATCTTCTGCCGAGGCATTTGGAAGAGCGCTTCTTGTGCGTTTTCCAGGTGGGTGTCTGGTTATGCATCCCACCAGCAAACCAGATCCATGGTCTGAGGGCTAGATGGAGAGAGAGATGGCTTCCTGTGCCCTCCTTTCATCTACACAAAAGGTACCCCAAGAGCAGTTGCAGAGTGCAAAGCTGGTATATTCACATGGTATTTTAAAGGATTAGCAGTTTTGCAGGCATTTGCTTTCAAAGTTTTCAGTGCTGGGATGTAAAAATAAGTGTACACATACTGTGGCGAACAGATGACTTTAGTCTGTGGTATACTGACATCAGTAGACATCTTTATCATGCTGTATTAAATGACAGACCCAGAGTGCTTCAGAACCCACTCTCCATTGAGATGGTAAGTGCATTGCCTGCATGGCAGTGAGTGTGCCCACTGACAGTGTGCTGCCAGTTTTTAGCAGACCTTCATAACCAAAGTAGCTTGGCACTAGTAAACTAGAGGAAAGACCAGTTTAACCCCATATATCATAACCATGGCTGTGATATATACACCAGCTCAAATAAATTCCATCTTAGCTAAGTATTATTGGTCACATTTTCTTTCAGTCCATCTGCCAGAGTCTCCCTGCAACTCTTAAACCATTTTTCAGACACTTCACCATTAATGTTCTCAGCATCTCTGTAATCCTGGCTGAATAATTAGGTGGTTTTTAGACTTGTTCTACTGCAGTTTATCTTGGTTTGTACAGTATGAAGGAGTTGAGCTGCTTTTAAGAATTTTTCCAAATGACAGATGCCACAGGTGCTAATAGAAACCTTCCATGGGGTTCAGGCAACATGTGAAACTTAGTCCTGCTTGTAATGCTGTATAGTGCATAGCTTTGTGCAAAAGATTAATGCCAAATCAAAGATCCTGCCTTTTGAGTTACTAGTTACCTATCAAATGTCAATTAGTGATACACGCATCATTGCACATGCAAAACTGTACAGGCTTGGCTGACATAATTTATATCTGGATGTAGGGGAGGGGGAAACAAAGATTTACCTGGTGTTTAATAAAAAAAGTCTCTAAACTTTCAAAGGAGGTACAAGAAGAGCTTACAGTGAGCTTGAAAGAGATTGATGTCCAAGCTGTAAACTGAACGTCAGCAGGAGCCCAAGAGTAAATGCTAAAAGGTATTCTCTAAAGCATAGTACGTGCAGAATCCATACAAGGTACATTTGTGCAGCTATGCTGGACATTTACTTTTCAAAAGATTCACTCTTTGGTTATAGCACTGGGAAGTCTGGTGAGTGAGCTTGGAGAAATAGAATTAGAGGGGGGAAATGGTAGAAATGAGCTAGTTATTCACTGAGGCACCAGCTGACTTATTAAAAATGTTGGTATTTTGTGTTCCTCTTCCATATTGGGCATGGGCTGACAGGAAAGCATTCTTATATGAGATTCTGCATTGAAGGCGTCTTTTGCTACATTTTAGTCCCCTACTTATTCTGAATAGTTACTCCCCATGATGTATATGCACTAGCTGTGATCTGAATATGAAATACTCCAGCTGCTTTAGTACACTGCCCTGCATCTGTATATAGTTGCTTTAAACTCACTACAGGTCAAACAAACTAGAGGAAACATTTTCCTTCTCTCAGGATTACAGGCAACAGTATCCTTTGGGGCTGTGTCTTTTTTAAAAAGCAAACAAAGCCACATCTGAGACACCTATCTCACCCTCTGAACTCCTACAGTAGTATTTGAAGTGAGTTTTGTTTAAATGGAGCCATCTCTGATCATCTTTCTGGTTATGACTACTAGAGACCAGTGTCACTCACATATGAATAAATGCAGGATGCTGCTGGACTAGGAAGGGAACTGGTTTATGGTGTCTGAATCTGGTCCCATGCTGTTAGGGGATGGAAAGGCCACTTAGCAGCAATGAAAGAGTACTGTTTCCCAGATATTTAAGTAAAGCATGTCTTTATTTGTATGAAGCTCACACCATGGGCTTCAGTCAAAATAGATATAGTTTTCTTTTTAAAAGGAAGCTTTGACTGCCCCCCTATGCTGAAATAGGCATGGAGGAAAAGTATGACACAAGTTCTTGATTCACTTCCACACTTAGCTATTGGGATTTGCTGTACTGGGGGAGGAATTTAAGGGGGGGGGGGCAGGTCTTAAATAGAAAACCTAGACAGCTTTTTACCTTTCTGCATATTGTCTTTTTGCTGTAATCTTGTTTTAATACCATCACACAGAGTAATGGCTAAGACTTACTGATGTGGATGTTGGGAGTTTTAAATGTCTATAGACTATTACCTGAACTGATATTATGGAGTTTCCCAGTACTGTGAGAGGGATGAGATCTGTTCAACACAATAAAGTTTTTTCCTCTCTTCTTAGCCATGTCTGTCTTTTATGCCAGATCTCTCAGCTGTTTGTATTAACAGGACTTCTGCAAGTAAAAAGTAACTTTCAAGCTGTATGTTTCAATCTTTATAGATAGCTATTTAGCTTCCTCTATTTAAAGATTTGGTTTGGGAAATGGCTATGGTAATTTTAGAAGTTTCTATGGATTATTATTTTCTTTATCCCTATGGCTTATACTATTGAAATCCTGGTACTAAAGATTAAGATGGCCACTGAAACAGGACACTATCAAGTGTCCTTTGAGACGTGCATTAGAAATGTCTTGGATTTTAAAATCTATTTTTTTTTGTGCATCCTGCTACCAATAACACACCTACATACTGTTAGGATCAGTTTTCTTAAAGGTCTGTCGTGTCTTGAATCATCACTGGAAATCCCTCTCAGTCTAGGGTAATTATCTTCCATGATTGGCTTATCTGTGGGTCTGAAGATGGCTGAAGAAGCCTGTCCAAGATTGACAGGCTGTTGCAGCTCAAGCAGGACAAAACATTATTTAGTAGCTTCTTTGTACCTGCAAGTGCTGTGGTTGTAATGTACACTCCCTATGGCTAGAAACGATTCTGAGCCTCTCTGGAAAAGCCGAAGCAGCTCTCTAGTCACACAATGTGTAAATCCTGTAGAAAAATTGATTCTTAAAAATGAGCCCAGCCCCAAGACAGGACTTGCTGTGTCTAACTGCCAGTGAAACAGCAAATGTTTTGGAGGAAAGTAGTTGTTTTGAAGCCACTCAGACTGGGAATTATAGAAAATGAGATGGCTGAATGTGAATACAGCAGATGTATCATGACTGTCATCCCACAGGTGTATATACATACATGCATTTAGCTGCTTATAGTTAGGCTCATCTTCCATTTAAAAGTAAGTAAACTGGAAGTCCCCCGTCCCCCCGCCAGATGCAAAACATTGCACCCGTCATTAATCTTCAACAGAAGCACTGGATGCTAATTTGGGGAAGTGGGGTAGAGAAGTCATGTCTAAGCTTTGGCCATAAGTATAGTCTACATATAGCACAGAAGCTTTACCTTAAGGTCCCAAATATCTATTTTGAAATAGACACAAGCAGCTTTGAATGTTTAAGTTTGCTAACCAGATCCTTTATAGAATATGAGCACCCCTGTACAGGTTTCCCTTGCTTCATGCTGTACATGTGTTCCTGGAAAATGGCGCATAACTCGAATTCACATAAAGGGAACCCACTTTACAATGTAACAAATAGGGATATGTTGCAAGACCTCCACTGTAGTGACCCCCAGGCCCATCTCTACCACTTTTACAAGACAGTTTTGGTACTCACCAACAGCAGACAGTACACATAAGCACAGGGTGGTGGTGAATGTTACCATAATGGGGACGGCAACTACAGAAACACGTGTCACAGACAATGACTGTATTTTGGTGCGTGTCACTCCCACAATTCACTGCACAAAGCAGCTGACTGGGCTTTCACCACACTGATCGCATAA